TCTCTCTCTCTCTCTCTCTCTCTCTCTCTCTCTCTCTCTGTCAGGTTCCCTGGAACTGGAGTTAGACAGTTGTTAGCTGCCATGTGGGTGCTGGGACTTGAACCTGGGTCCTCTGGAAGAGCAGTCAGTGCTCTTAACCACTGAGTCATCTCTCTGGTCTGTCTTAATATCTCTTGCCACTATGTCATGGTAATAGAGGCATCTACCCTGCCTGTGGACTCAGTAAGACTGCTTATAATGGACTTTCTTTTTTCATTTTGGTGTGCGGTATATGTGTGTGTGTGTGCGTGCACACACACCCATGTTTGTGAATAAGACAGTCCTAGGTTAACACTGAGTGTCTTTCTCTATTGTTCTCCACTTTATTTCCTGAGACAGGGTCTCTCATTGAACTAGAAACACATTAATTGGCTCGACTCGTTGGCTAGAGAACTACACCCGCACCCTGGCTCTGCCTTCTTGATTGTGGCCACATTGCTACGCCCAGCTCTTTACACGGTTTCTGGGGCTCCAGATTCAGGACCTCATGCTCGCACGGCAAGCTCTTTACCCACTGAGCCAGCTCTCCAGTGGCAGTTTTTACTTTATTTTTTTTTTCCGTTTTTGGTTTTTCAAGACAAGATTTCTCTGTAGCTTTAGAGCCTGTCCTGGAACTAGCTCTTGTAGACCAGGTTGGACTTGAACTCACAGAGATCTGCCTACCTCTGCCTCCCAAGTGCTGGGATTAAAGATGCCTGGTGGCAGTTTTTATCCCCCCGCCCCGTATGAACAGATTGGCATTAATCATGAAAGGGTGTGTGATATCTGGACTCCAAAAGTGTTGCTTGAGTTTACTATTATTTACCTTTGGGCACACTATGCTGATCTCCCCAGGCAGACTCAGCATCTGGGAGCCATGCCTCCTCATCTTAATACATCACCATCAACCATCCTGCCCATCCCTACCAGTCCTACCCTTCCTGCCTATGGCTGCTTCCAATACCCGGTACTATGCTGGAATTTCACTTGTGCTTAAGGCCGCTGGGGCATGACCTTGGGGAAGGGAGGGAAGCGAATCTGTACCCAGACTAATGAAGTCATTGACTGCTCAGGGTATCTTCTGTGGCCAAATGCCTTGCACATGGCAAACTCAGCAGATGACTAATTCATCATTAAATTCATCTTGGTACCTTTACATCTTGGGCAATGCTCTTTCTCTCCAGGAGAATTTCGGTGAGGGTTCGATGTGCCAAGAGGCGCTTCATGGTGGTTTGCACCAGGAACTGGATGGCTTTGGACACATGAGCGAGACTGCTCAGGAGAAGGGAGGCGTTTTCCATGCGGTAGTAGCAGACGGCGTCTATTTCCATTATGAACATGTCTTTGGTTACCACCTAAGCAGAAGAAAGTTGAATGCAGGCCAGATTCCTGGACTCCTTCCTGTGTGGGAGACAGTAACTAAATGCATTTAAAATGCCCTTTCCAGGAGCAAGACTATAGTAGGGAAAAACAAAAGCGTAGTGGGAGAATTGATTCTTTATTCAAAATGACATTTTTTTAATGCATGAAGGTTTTATCAAGTACACTAAAGAGTCAGGCCTGATGATGTTTGCCTCTGAGAGGAAGAAAAAGAGGGAGGAGGGAAGAGGAGCGGGGAGAGCATGAACACAATCTAGGCTCAGAAGAAATACATGAAGAACTCATAATTTAAAGAAATCTTGTCAGAGATCTCTTTATAAAAAAGAAACCAAGAATAATTTTCTCATATGAAAACATTCAATTGATCTTGTGTCAAGGCCTTCCTAGACTGATGCCCAATGGGTTTCCTGGAAGACAGCCATGCTCTAGGACAGAAAGACTCCCACATACAGCTACTGGGAGACATCAGAGGACAAGCTGGGGATTCCCATCAAAAGCCCCATCTGCTCTGGTGGTTTTTATGTCAACCTGACACACGCTAAGGTCATCTGGGAAGAAGGAATCTTAATGGAGATGATTGATGTGGGGGCGCTCAGACCATTGTGGGTGATCCTACGGTGTAAAAGAAAACAGAACAGACTGGGAGGAGCAAGCCAGTGAGCAGCATTCCTCCATGGCTCCTGCTCTAGTTCCTGCTCCCAAGCTCCTGGGCTGACTACCTTCCCCTCTGGTGATTACACACGTTGAAAATGATGCTTTCGATTCTGGTGTAGTCCGCATCTCTGCTTCTCTTTCCGACCTTTGATCACAGTTACTCTGCCTTGGGATTGAGTTGGACGGTCGACCATAGACATGTCACGAGAAAAGCATGCATACTGTGCATCTCACCTCATGGAAAGGTATCTCCAAGGTCTGGAGACGGAGGTCAACCTTGTGGTAGGTGTCCAGGCATGGCAGAAAAAAGAACAGACCTACAAGAAGGCATAAGGAAAGTAACAGGTGAATGGCAAGTGTGAAGACTGCTGGGGACATCTTTTCGATGCCAGGCTGCTTTGCCCCTCTTAGCCCCCGTCACCCAGAGAACACTGGGCAGCTTCACTGTAACTAAATATTGTCGTATAATTCATTATTTGACTGTGGCATTTTGAAAATAAAAGCAGGGGTACATATTAAAGCTAAGCTCAGCATATCAGGTATAAACAGATTATTTCAGAAAACTAGACCACTTGGGCATCACATGGACCCTTCCGGATCTCTTGCATGTCTGTATCTCCTCTAGACTCAAGCTCTGTGAGTACAGTGTCGTACACATGAACATTAACCTTAGTGGAGCCTTGTAAGTGCTATGTAAGATTGTTTTACTATGAATGTACTGGCGCTTCAGCATGGATCTGACAACTTCTGTGCTATTTCTGAAAATGTGAGCCCCGGGATCTCCGAATAGCAATATCATGCCAGCAGCTTTGTGGAGGTCGGTTAGCCCTCATTATCCCAGACAGTATACAGATTCAATACACAGTGTCTGTAGATTGGATAATTGATAGTTTCCTCAGGCCCTTGGATGATTTGGGACTGTGGTGGTTTGGATAAGAATATAGGCTAATATATTCAAATGCTTAGTCACCAGGGAATGGCACTATCAGAAATAATTAGAAGGATTAGGAGGTGTGGCCTTGTTGGAGGAAGTATGTTGCTGTGGGTGGACTATGAGGGTTCAAAAGTCCATGCCAGGCCTGGGCGCTCTCTTTCTCTCTCTCTCTTCTCTCCCCCTCTCTTCTCTCTCTCTCTCTCTCTCTCTCTCTCTCTCTTCCCTCTCTCTCTTCTCTCTCTCCTCTCTCTGTCCTCTCTCTTTCTCTTCTCTCTCCCCTCTCTCTTCTCTCTCCTCTTTCTTCTCTTTTCTCTCTTCTCTCCTCTCTCTCTCTCTCTCTCTCTCTCTCTCTCTCTCTCTCTCTCTCTCTCGCCTATAGATCAGAATATAGCTCTCAGCTACTGTTCCAGCATGTGCCTGCATGCTGCCATGCTCCCCAGCATGATAATAATGGCCCAAGCCCCTGACTAAATGCCTTCTTTTATAAGGGTTGCTGTGGTCGTGGTGTCTCTTCACAGCAATAGAACAGTGACTAAGACAGGCACCCTTCAAGAGCCCCAGCTTTGTGGAAAATGGTAGCAGTGCTCAGTGCCCAGGGTGTATAGGCGAGCAGCTGCCCCAACAGAGAAGGTTTCTGTAAATCAGGGCCATAGAAAGATGGTGTACCCTGGAGCTATGGAGTCTGGGTCTGTTTTGTGTGGACTTATACGTTGAGAATCCTGAAACTCTGATTTGTGTCTCCTAGATGGCCCTCCATTTTAAACTTGTTCTTGCAGGCATAGTTGAGAACTCAGACTCACTCAGTATATGTATAGTGGGACTTCGTCCTTTCTTATCCCTCTTGGCTGTCTCGGATCTTCAAATCCAAACTTCTCAGACTACCCACACTTCTTGTCATATGTACCCCTGCCCCTGTCAGGTTGGACCTCCTCTGGATTTTCAGGTCCTAGAGATCAGAAACCACCTTATTCCTCTAGTCTCTGGTAGTCAGAGCTCAGTTTAAAACAATGGAAGGGTTCAATGTATGTCTCTTCTACCAGCTAAACACTTATTTGTTACTAAATGCTGAATTTTGCTTGACTTCCAAGATCTAATCTGCCTCAGTCCCCAATTCAGAACCAGCTCAGATTTTCTCTGAGAAGTCACAGGATTCTGACTACACACACACTGTACTCGGAACAACCATTAGCCACAGGTCTGTAGTTGCCTTGCTGCTCCAATTAGACTAACTCTGGTGTGGGGCTTGCTGCACGTGTCCTCTCTTGGTCACCGCTTACCTATTAGTAATGCTTTCCAGAGAATTTTGTGACAGTCTGCCCTATAATGAACAGATTGGAAATACAGATCTCATGACTCAAATAACTTCATGTAATCTAAGATATGGATCATGACCATGTATGGACTAAAGAAACCATCAACAAAGCATGGGGTGGGATGAGAATTTAAAAACCATGGGGGGTAATTCTCACCAGGGCCTTTGGCTCTTCCAGGGAGCAGATGTCCCAGTCGGAATATAATTACTCTTTCATACTCTTGTACAACCTAAAGGGAAAAGCAATACTTTGAAATGATTTTTTATTTAAAAAACAATTCAAAAGACTTTTGCATAGGAGTGATTTTAGGTTACAGAAATTTTTGTTAGTCAGGTGTGGTGTCACACGGCAGAGGCAGAAGCAGTGAGTTTGAGGTCAGCCTGGTCTACATAGTGAGTTCCAAGACAGCCTGGAATACATAATGAGACCCTGTCTCAAAAAATTCTTTTGTTTTGAGAACTAAGAACAATGCCGGGCATGGTAGTTCATATATAATATCTCATCACTAGGCGGAGGCAGGGCAGGAGGTGTGGTTTATATAGCATGTTCCAGGACAACCAATGCTACACAGACCTTGTCTCAGTAGGCAGGTAGGAGCTAGAGAGACTGCCCAGTGGGTAAAGCATTTTCTGTACAACTGTAGTAAGGACCTGAGATTGAAAGAGTCATTTATTTGTTACACATATAGTGTCCTGTCTACATGTATGTCTGCAGGCCAGAAGAGGGCACCAGACATTATTATAGATGGCTGTGAGCCACCATGTGGTTGCTGGGAATTGAACTCAGGACCTCAGGAAGAGCAGACAGTGCTCTTAACTGCTGAGTCATCTCTCCAGCTCAGGATCTGAGTTTGAATCCCTAGAACCCAAGTAGAGCTGGCCATGGTAGTGCATGTCTCTGACCCAAGTGCTCCTACAGTGAGACTGCAGGCAGAGACAGAAAAAGCCCAAGAAACCTGTGGGCCAGCGAGCCTGCTGTAGACAACCAAACAGAAGAGACCTGTCGTAAACAACGAGGAAGGTGAGAGCGCCTAAGGTTGTCCTCTGCCCTCCACCTCTACGTGAGGCATGTGTCCCCCACCCGCCCCCCACAATCACACACCGTGGGAGGGCACACAGGGAGCCAGTCTTTAGCCTTAGAGGAAAAGGAGAGGCAATTGTGTTAAATGAAATGAGCCAGGAAAAGACAAATACTGCACATTTTTACTTTTATGTGAAAGCAAAGAGCATATGATGGTTATCAGAACCTGGGGATGGGGAAATGGGGGCTGCCGAGCAAGGGGTAAAGGTTCCACTATGCAGGGTGCATGCACCCTGGGATCTACTGTAGGGTATGGTGACTCTGTTGTATTTTATAGTATAATACTATATTTGAAATTTACTAGGAGAATCAACTGGTCTGAAGTGTTTTGCCACACAAAAATCTTAATTGAAAGGGATGCCCATGTTAGCGTGATTGTGGCAATATTTTCAAATATATATGCATATGAAAACACCACACTGTGGCTGGGATGTATGTTGGTGGTAGAGTGCTTTTCTAGCATACCTTCAGGTCTGGGTTTGATTCCTACTGACTATCAAATCTTCACAAATTCTTCCAAAATACAGAACACTGAGGAAAATCTCAATATATTATCTGCGGCTAGTGTTACTGTGCTCCATGAAGGCGAATCATAGATAACACAAAAAATTACACAACCATCTCTCTTATAAATATAGATGCAAAAATCCAAACAAATGAGCAGTAGCCTAGATCTAGTAATATTTAAAAAGATTTTACATTATGATCAAGTGGTGTGTGTGTGTGTACATGCATGCGTGCATGCGTGTGTGTGAACAAGTGTGGATGTGGAGGCCAGAGGGCAATGGGAAACCTTGGTTGTTGTTATTCAATCCCATCCACCTTGTTTTTTGATGGAGTCTCTCCTTAGCCTGGAGCTCATAAAGCTAAGCTGGTCAGCTGTCAAGCCCCAGGGACTGACTTGTCTTCATCTCGTGTGCTAGCTAATTTTATACCAACCTGACATAAGCCAGAGTTGTTGGACAATAGGGAACTTCAGCTGAGAAAATGACCTTACCACACTGTCCTGTGCACAAGCCTGTGGCACATTTTCTTGATTGATGACTTACGGGAAAGTGAGCTGGAGCTCACTGTGGGCAGTGCCATCCCTGGGCTGGGGGTCCTAGGTGCTGTAAGAAAGCAGGCTGAGCAAGCCAGTAAGCAGCACCCCTCCACGGCCTCTGCATCAGCTCCTGCCTCCAGGATCCTGACTGCCTTCAAAGATGAACTGGGATATAGAAGCCTAAGTGAGAGTAAGTCCTTTCCTCCCCAAGTTGCTTTTGGTCATAGTGTTTCATTACAGCAGTAGAAACCCTAACTAAGACACCTTCCTAGTGCTAGGTACAATTACAAGAGTGCGCCATCACTGCTCCGATGTTTTTCTATTTGTTTGTTTTCTATGTGGGTTCTGTGGCTCAGTCTCAGCTGTGAGGACTAGGACAAACACCAGCACTAACTGCATCTGTAGCGTCCAGCCTCAGCCTCACTCTTCCTTGGCAGCTCCAGCCAATGAAGCAAAATGATTGGCATGAAGCAAACTCTGCTTTGGGTTCCCTTTCAATGGGCGGGGCTGTCTGAGAGCTGCAGCATACAGCATTCTTTCTGTCCAGGTCTCCCACTTCTGAACCAACTCTCAAACTATGTCATCAAAGGTGTCCCCTCCCTTACTTATTTATTTATTGAGACAGCTCTGGCTGTCCTGGAACCCACAGAGACCAGTCTGCCTTCCCCTGCTTATTCTTGTTCTCTCTCTAAATGCCTCGAGCTTCTAATTCACCTCAGCAAGTGCTTTCTGAGCTACCTAGGTCTTCATTTAATTCTGGGATTAGTGTAAGCAAAACACTGGGGACCAAAGAAATTGTCTCTTCTGGTCTGTAGAAGTTGCCTGAGACGTTTCTTTGTGGGGTCAGAGTGGATGATATATTCTGGGATGCTCTTTAAGTCATTGAGCATGGATGAACTAGATATAGCTTCTAAAGGATCTCTCAGGCTAACAGGGATATATAGCTATCATATATATTATATGTTGCACATAATCACTATCTATCTAAATGTGTCACCCTTACACACACACACACACACACACACACACACACACACACACGATCCTAGCCATGACAGAAGAAGGTTGGGAGAATGAAGGAAGCCTCAGAGTTACACTGAGCCAGGTTTTGAAGGAAGCAGTGCTCTTCTGGGAGGTAGGAGGGCATCAACCACAGAGAGTGACCTAGACGGCCTATGACAGACAACAGAAGACCTCCTGGGTCCGCGCCAACACTCACCTTTATGCAGAACCAGATGGAGAAAGGGAAAGTCAGGATGATGAAGAGCAGGGAGGCGAGGACAAGCAGCCACTCACAGGCCCCGAACCCGGAGGACTTGACACCTAGGAAAACCATTATATCAATCATCACCATATTCTCTGAGCAGTATTTATCAGTCTAGTGCTAGCATTGAAGTCAGAACAGTTTGGAGATATGTCTGGAGAAATTGGTATGAGCCAGATATCAGAATGATCACAGTTCCCAGGGCTTGGGTACTGTCTGTGTGATGGATTGTGCAGGCTGTGGAATAAACTTCTGGACAGACAGGGGACCTGGGGGGTCAGGAGGGCTGGTGGGGGCAGTTGGTTCCATCATTTCATGTCCATTGATGACCTTTAGGCAGGGCACAGAACCTTTTAAAGCCTAATTTCCTCACCAATACAAGGGATGTTGATTAATTCCAATCCCGTAAGAGCTAGCTCCTGAGCTACAGCTGACATGTCTGGCTCAAGGGTGAAATGGCACACACAAAGATGCCTGCTCATGCTCCACGTGTCTCAGGCTTTGCTGAGTGAAGTGTCTAGAAGTTCCTGCCACTGCCTGCCTTCACGTCTGAAATTCTTGCATTAGAGTCCCTTTACTGTGTCTGTGTGTGTTCAAAGGTTTTATGGAACCAGGGTGCTCCACATCCAGGATGCTCTGACTCAGTACCAAAGACTCTCTGAGAATGGCTGGCTTTCAGGGCTTTCAATGGAAGTTAAGGTGTCCCACTGTGTAGAATGGGAACCTGTTTCTCTGCTTTCCTAGCATTACCCGAACCATCATGGAAGCCAACCCACTACACCCTCTTGTCGATTCTGTTCTTCTAGAAAGTTCTGCCCAATACTAGCAAATTGTTTAATTTCTCAAAGCATTTTTCCTCATCTGTGATGGTATGCAACTAAATAATTCAAAAAATAAAACACCCAGCGTGCGCCAGTCACATAGAAAGGATTCCACCAACAGGTCTCCCTCCCTCGCCTCCTTCCCTGCTGTGATCTGGCACAAACTAATTTGCATTTTATAGCATTGAAGTCAACAACTTCTCTTAAGGACCAGAGGGTTATCAGGCAAAAAGTACATGCATGGTCCATTTCCACTATAGCTCAACTGCACGAGGCTTCCATAAATAGTTGCTTTCTATGATTCAGCATATATCACACTGCTGGTAATTAGAAACATTAATCTCCACATGCCAGCAGACAGCAATGTAACATGCTGTTTCTTAATTTCGTCAAACATCTGTTATCCTTTGAGTATAATGATTTTTTTTTCTTAAATTTGCTGTGAAAAGGACCAGAAGTAGATACATTTCTCCCTAAGGGCTGTGGCACCCACGGAGGTGAAAAGGACCCCTTTCTTTGCATTCTCCCCTATGATATGGTGGTGTTCTCTTTTAGTTGACATTGTGCAAGGCACACTGGAAGGCTTACTTTATTCTCACATCTACCCTATGAACATACATTGTGGCCACATGGCTGATAGAGAACGCTCTTTCTGCCGCCGTTACACCGCTGGAAAGTGGCTAGGCTGAAATTTAAACTCAGGTTTGGTTCTTTGGGCTCTGCTGCCTGGGCGGAATGCGGGAGGCTGGGCGAGGATGAGAAGAGCCACATGGTTGTTGCTCAGAGCCTCCACATTGTGTCCACAGGTCCGTCCATGACCGCAAATGCCACCACCGTGGCTCCTTTGCATGTTGACTGAGCCCGCCCTGAATCACTCTCTCTTCCAACTCCCATCCATAGGGTGAAAGGGTCAAACTATTTGGCTGATTTGCTATTTGTACTTCGTCTGATGCGCTTTGGTCTCCGTCACTCATTAACTGCCTTAACTCACGCCTTTCTTTTCGCAGACACTGGAATCCTGGACGCAGTCTGTCTGACTTTGCCACAGTGGGGCAACTCACTCCACTTGTCTGATCTCTCTCTGGCCCTCCACACTTTCCTCTGGTCGGTCCTATCCTCTCCATACCTTCCTCTGGTCGTTCGCTCTCCAACAGCGCCACCACTTCGGTGCCCTCCTCACCGGAGGCCCGAACCTCGTCCACGTCCACTACGGTGGCGGTGGTGGCGGTGGCGGCGGAGGCTCGGGGCTCTCCCCGGGTCCCCGTCCGCCCGGCGCTCCGCCGCTCTGACCCAGCATCCGGGCGCGTGCGGCCTCCGCTGCCCCTCCCGGCCTTCGTCCTCTTGTCCTCCCTAGAAGAGGATCTGCCACCTCGCCCGTGGGCCTCTCTAGAAGAGCTCCGCGCCCTGCTGTCCATTCTCAACACGGAGGGTGGGCACGGCCCCGGAGCCAGGTGCTGGTGGAGTGGCAGTCTTCAGCTTTCTGAGCAGCTAGGGAGCGACCCCAGGTCCTAAGTAGGGCCGTGCTGTCGGGAGGGAGGGACGAGGGGCGGGGCCGAGGTGACTCCCCCCCCCCCCCCAAACCAAACAGCAGTTCCTTTGGTCTGAACAGGGCTCGCGGATCTCCAAGACAGGGCGGGATGCTCTCAGAGGACCTGGGTGGGAGAACCCTGGTGTCACTGCACCAGGCAGCTTCGAGGATCAGGTCCGCGAACAAGAAAGGGAAGGTAGTTAGTTCTGCTTTGCTGGTTAACGGTGGTGTGAAATAGGACACGGGGTACTGAGGGATCTGCTTTAATTTCTGTGTTTACAAAGGTCTGTTTTTCTCTCCTAGGTCCTGTTCCCATGGTTTCTTGAAGGCAGGAGTTCGGGGTTTTCAAAGTTCAGTGGCCAAACAGCTTCCAGTAGCAAACCCAGGAGTTGTCTTACCCTTTTCTGGGGAACTTGACAGGGCTATAGATGTCTTTGTAGTTCACTGTTTCTGTCTGAAACAGAAATGTGTCTAAATAACTTTTAAAGCAAACTTCACAATTCTACTCCTGTAGAATTAGCCCGTGTTGGTAGAAATGTTAATTTATTTAGTGTTTGATATTGATTTCACACATACCTTTTTTCCCCTTAAAAACTTTTATTTAGAGAACTTCAGTAGCTGGGCGGTGGTGGCACACGCCTTCAATCCCAGCCCTTAGGAGGCAAAGGCAGGTGATTCTCCAAGTTTGAGGTCAGCCTGCTCTACTGAGTTAGTTCCAGGATAGCCAGGGTTGTACAGAGAAACTCTGTCTCAAAAAACCAAAATAAACAAGTAACAAACTTCAGTAATGAGAACCTGAAATAAATTGACCTTGAAAACTATTGTTTTTTTCATGTGTTTCAAATAGTCACGGAATACAATAAATATTTAGTAACCAAGTAACTTGAAATTAAACTAAACCCTGACCCTAATTTTTTTAAATATTTCAAATATTATTTTATATACAGATGTTTTGCTTGCATATGTCTGTGTACCATGGGTATGCCTGATGCCTGTAGAGGCCAGAAAAGGGCATTAGATCCCCTGGAACAGAAGTTATAGACAACTCTGTACTGCCATGTGGATGCCGGGAATCGAACCTGGGTCCTCTAGAACAGCAGCCGTGTGCTTAACTGCTTACCATCTATCCAACCCTGACACTGATTCTTGCATAAGCTGTAAGAGAGGGCAAATATTTCAAAAAAATCGGGCTCATTGAATACTTCCTGCCTAGAATAGCACAGTGAGAAAAATTCTCAAGTTGCCTTTGATTCACAGAGAGAAAAGCACTATGAATTTCTTGTCCATATCAGAAGCAATATAAGCACCTGTTTGCCAGTTGGCTGGGGTGACAAATGGTGAAAGTATCTGGGGAAAAAATGCGTGATGGTCCCTGATAAAACGGCCAACTTAGCATTCTGGAGGTGGAGGAGTTGGGGAGGGCAGTGCAGAGTCAGCAGTGAGTGCTGCCGGCAGCCTCCTCTGTGATTATAACGATGCTGATATTTTCCTTCGGATTCCTTCTTAATTGAAAATGCTGCTCATACCTTTGTTGACACTATCCTACATACTCATAAAACTTTAATACTTTACTCCTTCTTTGTGGAGACTGACGTCTATAGAAATAGGGCAACTGGAAGGAGGAGGAACTCATTGTTGACTTGAGTGCAAGACGAAAGAGCCAGAAAGATTGTAGGGTGTTATACTTACTCCCATGTAGTGCCTTCAAATTTGATCTCCAAAGAAAAGAAGGGGTGGACGTATATCTATACAGATTATTTCATGGAACATAAACAGAATTTATTGTCATTAGATAAAAGTTCAAATGCCGTTTGGGACCTGGCAGCTACGAAGATGTGCTAAATTTGACTTTCTCAATTTTCAGATGTCAGATTGAGCAACTCGGGGAGAACAACAGTGTCCAGGGAAGTGATGCTAATAAAAGCCTGATCCAAGGCTTTGGGATGAGATGGTGTGGATTTAGGAAGATGACCTATATGTAAAGCGATATAAGTACCTGGAATTCTCTTGAGATTATGGGACTTGACAAAGCATGAGAGGAGATTTATTACTGAGCAGGTTTTTTTGTTTTATTTATTTATTTATTAAAAATTTCCACCTTTTCTCTGCCTCCCTTTTCTCTCCCCATTCCCACCTCCCCCTCCTCACCTCTCCCTTCCCACCTCCCCCTCCCTCTCTAGTCTTAAGAGCAGTAAGGGTTCCCTGTCCCATGGGAAGTCCAAGGTCCTCCCCATCCATACAGGTCTTTAAAGGTGAACATCCAAACAAACCAGGCTCCCACAAAGTTAGTCCATGCAGTAGAATTAAATCCCAATGCCATTGTCCGTGGCTTCTCAGTCAGCCTTCATTGCCAGTCACGTTCAGAGTGTCCATTTTGATCACATGCTTCATCGCTCCCAGTCCAGCTGGCCTTGGTGAGCTCCCATTAGATCAGTCCCACTGTCTCAGTGGGTGGACGCACCCCTCGTGGTCCTGACTTCCTTGCTCATGTTCTCCCTCCTTCTGCTCCTCATTTGGACCTAGGGAGCTCAGTCCAGTGCTCCAATGTGGGTCTCTGTCTCTATCTCCATCCATCGCCAGATGAAGGTTCTATGGTGATATGCAAAATATTCATCAGTATGGTTATGGGACGAGGCCAGTTCATGCGCCCTCTCCTCTGCTGCCCAAGGAACAATCTGGGGATCTCTCCTTGGACCTGGGACCCCCTCTAGAATCAAGTCTTTTACAAACCCTAAAATGGCTCCCTTAGTTGAGGTATTTACTTCCCTGCTCCCATATCCATCCTTCCTCCATCCCACCCATCCCATTCCCCCAAACTATCCCGAATCCTCCCCTTCTCCCTTCTCTCTACCCAACTCCCCTTACATCCACCCCCAACCCCCCCCCATGCACCCAAGTTTGCCTGGCAATCTTGTCTACTTCCAATATCCAGGAGGATAGCTATATGATTTTCTTCAGGTTCACTTTCTTATTTAGCTTCTCTAGGATCATGAATTATAGGCTCAAAGACCTTTAATTATGGCTAGAATCCACTTATGAGTGAGTACATACCATGTTCCTCTTTTTGGGTCTGGCTTACCTCACTCAGTAAAGCGTTTTCTATTTCCATCCATTTGCATACAAAATTCAAGATGTCATTGTTTTTTACCGCTGAGTAAAACTCTAATGTGTATATATTCCACACCTTCTTTAACCATTCTTCTATTGAGGGGCACCTAGGCTGTTTACAGATTCTGGCTATTACAAATAGTGCTGCTATGAACATAGTTGAACAAATGCTTTTGTAGTACGCTATGTTTGAGACAGAGTTACTCTGTGTAGCCTTGGCTGTCCTGGAATGCATGCTATACCCCAGGCTGACTTCAAACCCAGAGAGCCTTCTGCCTCTGCCTCCTGAGTGCTGAGATTTAAAGGCAGGCACCACCAGTACTCAGCACAGTTGGTCCTAACTGCAGCTTCTCTGGCAGACCCGCCTCCTAGAGCAGGGATTGTTAAATCACTACTGAAATCAGCTCCCTCTTTTTGATTTGGTGCAGCTGGGTTAGAGCCTGAGGTTCTACATTTTTAATGTGTCCCTTGGTCAGCAAAAAGGCAGGATGCTTTATACTAAGTTGTGAGCAATGGAGTAAAAGGTAGAAAAAAATCTGATGTATACTGTCTATTCAAGAAGTTGGCTGTGAAGGAGACACAAGAGAGGGATGTAGGTCAAGGAAAGTTTTTTTCCCCTCCTCAGTTTGCTCTCTCTCTCTATGTAAGATAAAAATCAGAACATAATTTTATGTTATAGGACTTTATAAGGAGATAGAAACAGAATTGTATAAGGATAGCCAAAGAGCAAAATCGTGGTCTGACAGATGCTATGGGGATAGAATGAAGGGGAAGGGACCACACACACACACACACACACACACACACACACACAGATGCCTGAAGGAAAGACATGGGGAGGGGAGACTAATGCAGAGGTCTGTGAAAGACCCCAACCCTAGTCTCCATCTTAAAATGTTTTGATCAAACAGGCCAGGGCAAAACAGGATATCTGTGGGCGGCAGAAGCAGTCTTAAGACCAGCTGCACCTGCCTAGAGGATGAAAACAGGATATCTGTGGGCAGCAGAAGCAGTCTTGAGAAAAATACCCAGTCCTTTGTGTATCTAAACCCAAGGGGGCAGAAACTGGCTGAAACTAGCTTAATTTAGACTTGTTTTTGTAGACTTGTTTTTGTCCTGATGTTGATCCACCCCATATGTTAATTTTATTTGAGTTGACCAATGATGTTGCTGTTGCTATGCTTCCCCGTTATATAACCCTGAGACCCTATAAATACTGGCTGAAAAAATACAAAGGGGGCTCAGTCTCACTGGAGTACTTAGTTGTCCGTTAGCGCCTTCAACAATAAAGAATCCTCTTGCTGTTTGCATCCATTGGCGTGGCTTATTAAGGCTGGGGGATCCTTCCTGAATCCTAGAAATTAGGGTCTTTTAGTCTGGACTGGAGCTGAGGAGGTTTATATATGAAAACTTGCATTTTTAATGGGGTTAGTGCTCAGTCATTCTCCAGTAGTGGTGAACAGTAGATTAAGATGTCTAAACTGGAATCAAATGTTTGGAGTCATTTCTATGGCAACAGACTTGAACTGGGTCTCAAATGGCCCAAACTGGGCTGTTCAAAAGACTGGGGGGCAGGAATAATGTATTGATTCTATCCTGACCTTCCAAATCACCATTCCTTCACCATGCTCTTAAAAAGTCCCTTGAAGGCTGAGACTAGCTCACAGTGCTGTGCTTGCCTAGCACACACCCTGGGTTCAACTGCCAACACTGTCAAAAAGCTTCCCTATCTTTTTCTTACCAAGGCAAGACTGCTTGTAGGAGCAGCTGCAATTGAAATTTACTGCCAGATTGGAAGCAGTACTGGGAGGAGACCAGGTGGAGGCAGTTAATTACCAGACAACAAGTAGGC